TTCTGGGTGAGCAACCCATAATTTGTGGCCCTTCCTAGGTTCTCCATTGGCTGAATCCCCCCGCACCCATGTCATGTCAGGATAGGGATGTCACATACTTCTGCCAGTCCCTTGCCCACCTCTGGACCATTTATTTGCATTTAATCCCCTCTGAATTCAAGGGGCAGCTTGATTGCCCCAATATGCATCGTCCCATGCCACTTAACAGCACCATGCTACCAACTTCATTGCTGGTAAAAACCCACCATCTCATGTGCCATGCTCCCATCAAAAGCAGCTCTGGGAGGAAGAAGCTGTGTGTTTCCTTTAACCTACAATAAAGCAAAGCAGTTCAAAGAGCTGGAAAAGGAGGTTAACAACCTCTTTGAAATGTAGGTTCAAATTCCCAGCACAGCCACAGTCAATTATCAGCAAGTGCTGTGACACTTCTACTACTGACGAGGAAGAGGAGGGAGGGGAGCATGTGGCACAGAGGTCCAGACGGGCAGCAGCGGGGGTTAAAGGACATCACCAGGGTGGTGAGAAAGGTACCAGGATTTTTTTCAGGCTGATTAACCCTTCTTCGGTGTGCCCAGAGTAGAGGCACTGGAGTAGGTGGAGCTGGGCAGGGTGGCAGCACATTCCCCTGCCCAAACCCCTTTGTGTCTGGCAGGGCTTTTTCGAGGGATGCACAGCGCCTGGCTGTTGCTTTCTCCCGGGTGTTCCTCTGTGGCAGCATGAACCACTTTTATTTTAATCCCATTAATGAAAGGCGGTGAGTGCAGGGGTGGGGATGGGGCAGGAGGGGGGTGGGTTTGTTTTGGTAGTGAGGATGGGTGCACACAGGCATACAAATGCTGGGAGACAAAGGCTGTGATTAAGGGCCAGTACTCCAACTCCCCACTTATTACAGGAAAGGATTTATCTCATGGCCTAGCTTCAGCTCCAATTTTCCACCTTTTAATCAGGTTCCCAGGTCTGCTTGTCCACTCAAAAAGGGAAGGAAGAGGAAATCTCAGGGTGATGAAGCAGGAATAATACTCTATAAACATGCATGGGTCAGAGGGTTTCACTGCCTCAAAACTTTCCTAGGAGGCAGATCCCAGGGCAGGCAGAAGGATTATGCCCAGCCATGCAGCATTAGTTTCTGGCATGGCAAGAGTGCATCTGTGCTTTCCCGCCTGACCAAGCCAGGGTTGTGTGAAACAAACGTGCTGGAAATAAAAACCTTCTGCAAAATGGAAAATGTACAGAGGAGCAGCTATTTTTAAAATGGACAGCACCTACTGCTGTTATGAAGTCAGCCACATAATCAGTCAGGAAGGAACTTCTGTGGGCTGACAGCTGACAGCCAGGAGAAACGGTTCCAGCAGATTGATGAGAAGAAAATGAGAGTTTTTGGGTACTGGGAGGTGCATGTTCTTTAATAAAGAGAAGAATTTCTGTCCTGTGCTGCCCTGGGCACAAGGCAGATGGGGGGAAGTGACTCTCCCTGTCTTTCCCCATGTGCTGGAAAGGAGGGATGAGAAGCTGATAACTCTCCAGCAGACAGAACACCGTAAGCAAATGCAAGCTCACTCACTTCTTCCTCCTCCCTTACCCAGCCTGGCCTTATTGCCGAGCCTCTGCTGAGGTTTTCCTGCTTCTAAAAATGTTGAGCCTGTAATTAAAACGCCCATCTTGCTTGCCAGGGCAAACATATCTGACCGTGGAGCTGAGCTGGTTTGGTGGAGACATCCAAAGCTTGCATCTAACCAACCTGGCTGGCCTTCCTGGCAGGGATGGCTTTCCTGGCACGGGTGGTTTTACTGGCATGGGTGGCTGTTGATGCCTGACACTAGGTGTCCTTCACACCGTGTTATCAAGCTGACAGGAAGCTTGAGTGAGGGCCTCCTCAACTCATCCAAGCCTGATGTGCCCCGATGTGCCCTTCCTCCTCTGTGGGGACATCAGTGCTGTTTCAGGTGTTTGTGCCCTGCTGGTAAAGAAGGGACTTAAATGGGCAATGTGGGGACTCATGTTGCTGGTAGAGGCTTGCCTGTTTCTTCCCATTTAGCGGACTTTGGAAAGGCTATTTAAATAAGAAATAGTAATCAAAGCAATATTTTAATTAACAATAATTGAAATAATAAATTAAGAATTTAATTAAATAATGAATAAAAAGCAGTTGCAAAATAAGATATTAAGGCAAGGGGGCAAAGGAGTAGCAGGAGGGACAAGATCTAACACAGTGCTGGAGCATCACATATGTGGGGCATTCACAAGGAGGTGGGAGACCTTCAGACCCATGATAGGTCCTAGGATGTTGTCCTTCCCCAGGAGAAGAGGACATTCTCCACCATTTTGGCTGAGCCCACACCCCAGGTCAGAAGTGATTCCAGCCCCAAAGGGTGTGGTGCTGTAGCCTCATGGTCACAGCCTTGTGATGGATACCAGAGGAGCAGTCATCTCTTAATGCTTGTTGGTGGTGGCTTTTCCCCTACAGTCTATAATAGTTCTATGAGCAAGATTTGGACTTCCCTGGTGATCTCACACCACAGGCTACTGTCTGACTACCTTGTATGCCATCCTGAAGGACAGGGCATTTTGGGGAAACTTTATCTTTTGTGGTAAAGAGCCAACAGCCTCTTCCAGGCAGCCTGCAAGTCTGCCTGCTCGGGTGGAAGAGGCAGTTGTTCCTTCTGGCTTGGGAGGAACAGGAACATTGCAGCTTCCCGGGGGCAGTTTCCTCAGTGGGTCTCTGATTGCACCATTTTATATACAACACCAAGAAACCTTTAAAATTAAATTTTGTATTTAAGAGCAAGAAGACACCTCCAGAGAGGTTTCTATTTATTCTTTAGGTGCAATGGCTCTGCATGGTCTCAGCCCTCTGTGCAGGAGCCCTAGCTCTGCAGAGGAGGGTACTGAGACTGGATTACGTGTGTCTCACTGCTAGAAGCGCTGTGGTCTGGCAGTGTTCAGCTTTCTGTGCTGTGGCATCACTTCTGCACCCCTTTGCTCCCTCCTACCCCCACAGAATCATAGAATCCGTAGGGATGAAAAAGACCTCTAAGATCATCAAGTTGAACCTTAAACCAGCACTGCCAAGTCCACCCTTAAACCTTCTCCCTAAGCACCACATCTAACGTGTTCTTGAACACTTCCATGGTCTTGTGGTGTCTCCCCACATCACCCCACCTGCTGCAAATCCAGTCTTGCAGCACTAGCAGACCATGTCCCAGATTGCTCAAATCCATGATCTCCACTTGCTCCACAAGCTTTGGAGCAGGTCCTGGAGCAGGGAATTTGCACCACATACTTTCTGCTGCTTCACAGTTATGTGTTCCTAATTGCCTTCAAGTCAACCAGAGAAGCTGTCAAGCCTTTCCATCACTGAAGAGCACAGTAAGCCAAGCACCATGGGACAAATCCTGCCCCCAGTCTGGAGATGCAACACCCATGAGGGCGGTGGGGATCAGCAGAGCAAGGAGAGAAGCTGTGTTGCATTTCAGACCCAGCGACAGCTGCCACCCGCCCAGCACTAAAGCAATAAATCTGGGGGAGCTGGGTTTATTCTCCTCCAAATTACTTTATTATATTGTGAGTAATCACAAAGCCTTACAATGCTGCAGAGGTTCTTTAAAAAAACAGACAAACACAGCAACAGTATTTGCCAGCTTTTGCTAAGACTAGTTTAGCTAGCAGCTAGCGTGAGATTACACGAGGAAATCTTGCAGTCTTCAATTGGATTGTCACATTGGGTTTTAAATTTACCACAGTGCTGCAAAGACAGTAACTTTGACAGGAGGTGATAACCGTAATGTTTCATCTATGTACAGGCTTAAAAAAGTAAACAGCTTTCATTTAAAAAAATACATTTTCTGCCAGCAGAAAATAATTCTCTTAAAAAGGCAAGATCCAGTAAAACCCACATATCTTTCCTCACAAACTGCCCCATCTTGCACTGCAGTTTGTTTCTGTTACCCTCCAGATCTCTGCCCATAGGCAGCCCCATTGCCTTTTTAAGAAAATCAACATGTTTTCTATGATTGTGAAGGCTGGTCAAACATTGCAACGGCTCAGTATAGGGGGGAAAATCCCCAAAACTGATGGAAGGGTTAAAAATCCCACCCTAAGCTACCCAAACAAATTATTGAAATGGAGATAGATGGTAATGTGGGAGTACCAAATTTCAGTATCCAAAGTTAGGTGTTGACTCTTGACTTTTATGGAGTCTGTGGGTTTGGGCAACAGGGTTTCCACTTTCCAAGACTTTTAGGGGTATGAGGACAAAACCTGAGCTTCTTCCAACACTCTCAAAGACAGCTGTGAGATGAGTTTATATCTGCATCACCTTTACATGGATCTCCCTAACTCAAACATTAAAAGTGGCCCTGATGCAGGGCTGGGTTTAGAGACCAAACTGCAGATCAGCTTGGGCAGGACCCCCCATCCACAACATCCCATCCCCCCAGACAGAGCATGCCAGATGTGGACCAGACCTCAGCAGTCACCTCCATTGCTCCTACAAGCAAGTTGAAGGCTTCACACATGGCATTGAGTCATCCCACTTCCTCTTAGACTGGAGAAAAAGAGGGTCCAGAGGGGTTTTCTTTTGCCAGCATTTCAGCAATGGAGGGAAATAAATGAGTAAAACTTGGAGGACCAGGCTTTTCCTGAGATTTCTGTTTATCAGGTTCACTTGGCAACCAAAGAGCTGTGTGAGATAAAGAAAAGCCACAACTCTGGAACAAAAACCCCAAAGATCTTTTTCTCTGATAAGCAAAGTGCTCCAGGGCCACATGCATCAGTGTTAATTCTTCCCCTGGCACGTTCTCAGAAGTGTTTTGGCACTGCAAGTTGCCTCACATATGCCCAGATGAGCTGCAGATGTTGCATTCAGATGGGGAATGTCAGCCTGGAAACAACCTACACTCATATCCTCTAGGACTTCATCTTGGTTTGATAAGGTCATCAAGAAAATCTCTGTCAGAGTTTCCTTCCAAGCTTCCCCAGAAGGGGCAGAGGGATTATTTTCCTTTTTTTTTTTTTTGAGCTAGCCTACACGACCTCTTCCCTTTGCAACCTCTCTCATTGAAGGCTAGTTCCTGGGTGAGATGTGGCTGTTAGCAGACCCCTCTGCTGCACACCATCTCTGACCAATGGCTCACCGAGGTTGAGAAGACGGGAGGCTGCCAAAGCCGGACCTAAGTTAATTAGACATGAAAAGGATCAAGGTGGGAAAACAAGGAGAAATGGGTGGGAAAATGTCTCGACTTACTCAGTGTTCATTGCACAGCTATGCAAATAACATGTAAAACCCAGCACACTGGGTGCACCCTGTATTCAGGTTTGTCTGGAAATGTTTCTTCAAGACTGAAAGTGCATGACAAAAAACAGGGTGCTGCTAATGAAGGCAGCATCCAGAAGGCACATTTTGGGGAGTAATAATTAAAAGAAGGATGATGCATGGGTTTGTAAGCAAGCAGCTACAGAGTTGGTACATTTTGGTGTGTGCTCTCCAGAGGTGTAGCTTTGCTCCTACAAACTTGTCTGAGGCATGAAGTGTTTGCTCCAGACAGACTGTTCTGCCCTGGGACCTGCAGAGCGACTTGTCCCTGCATCTTTTTTTTTTTGATACTTTGAAGGGCTACACGCATTCCAGTTTTTGTGGAAAACTGCTCTTGAGCCAACAGGATGAGTGAGGACCTCAATGCACTGGGTAAAATCTGGAGCCTGCAGATAACGCAGGCTGAGATTTGAGAGTTTATAAAATCCACAAACAGTCAACTATTGGCAAATACAAATATATAAATTATTGACAGTTTTACAAAAGGCACACTGCAAGCCATCTCAGTCCGACACCTGTACAAGTCCCATGGCCCCCCACCCTCCCTGCCCTACTCCTCCTTCTCCCCAGCTTTCATCACGAAACATAAGGTGCTGCTGCTACAGATCCATGGCTGTCATAGCAACTGAGAACTTCCTTTTTGGTCAGCCCAATTTGTCGGTGGTACTGTCCTTCTTTGATGGTCTTAAGACACTGAATGTCCTTCCCTAAGGTGATGCTTTTGATGGAAGGCAGGTATTTCAGCAGAGTCTTTGGCAAGGATGTTATACCTGTCCCAGACAGGTTGAGCTCTTGTAGGGAGTTCAGACCAAAGATAACTTCAGCAGTCAGTGACTTCAAGTTGGGATTGTTGGATAAATCCAGAACCTGGAGAGCTTGGAGTTCCTTGAAGCTATGAGGAGATAGCTCTCTAAAACCATGCAGGCCACTGAGGGATAAATGAATCAAGTCTTTCAGCCCCATGAAGTCTCCTTTCTCAATCTTAACCAGAGGGTTTCCATCGAGATTTAAATATCGGAGAGGAATGCCTTGGAGGTTTGGTACAAATGTTAGCCTGTTTCCAGAAAGACTTAAGTTCTGGATGTTTGGAATGCTCTTTTCATGGTGCCTTGTAATTGTGCTGAGCATATTATTGGATAGATCCACATTCAGGGATTTGCCTTGACCTTTTGAAGCAAAAATGTCCGTAGCTATATCCAAAAGTTTGTTATTGCTCAAATCTATGTCACTTAGAGGAGAACTGGAGAAACAGTCCTCCGGAAGGACTTCCAGAGAGTTATGACTCAGATCCAAGGACTCCAGGTACCGAAGCCTGGAGAATGTTGTGGAGGAAATCTTGGCTATTTTGTTGTAGCTCAGGTCGAGACTCACCAGGGTGGTGTATCCAGGGCCAGTAAGCATCGATTCATTTATTGTTTCCAGTTTGTTTGATGATAGATCCAAGTAGGAGGTATCCAGAGGGATTGGGACAGGAACAATGTGTGAGCCTATTCCGCTGCAGTCCACCTTGGTCAAGCTAAAGCTGTCAAAGAGACCAAAGGTTTCCACTTCGCAGTGGCAGCCAGGGAAGCAGGTTTTTGTGGTACCAAAATAAGGAAGGAGAAGCAGCAAATTGAACCAGGCCAGGAAATGCATTGTTCTCCTGGAAAACAAGACAATAGAAAAGCAGATTTAATTGCTGTAGAAATTACTTGATGAAGGATGTCTAACTGTTTGACTTATACAGTCTTGACCTTTCTCTTTACAAAGGGAGAGATTAAGCATACCCTTGAAAAGCACGGGTATCCCAAAGACTTTTTCTCTCATGTTATGAATCCCAGTGGCAACTTAATGTAGAAAAAAATTGGGTCAGTAGTCTTTACACACATAACCAAATAAAGACAAAATTGGAAATGAGCTGTAAGAACAGTTGGCTGCTTTAAAGCATGATCTATCAAACATATATGATTTTAAGTGGACCATGGAAGAAGCTAAGTGACAGCTCAAACACTGAGTCATTTCACAACCTGGCAAACTTCAGCACACAGACGTCCTTCATGTCAGGGCCTTCCTGTGAGATTTGGGAGCACTGGCTTCAGGGCCCTGCATTGTCAGGTCGGAGAAATAATTTAGGCTGTGGGAGCCTTAGGTGTCTAAAGGCCTTACTGGGAGACAAGAAACCAAAATTCCTTTCAGATTTCATACAGGCAACAGCATCCTCGAAACAACATCCAGGATTAACAGCTGAAAAGGCCAGCTCCTTACTTCCCAAAAGGACATCACACCTCCCTTTCTTGGACTTCAGATGCAAATTTTAGAAGTTTGGATTTGTATCAGGTGGCTAAAAACAACCCTCCTTGGCCTGGTGGCAGCTCCTACCAGAGCAGAGGAAACAAGGCTTGTTCAGCCTAACCCAGCCTTTGCTGCAGTGGGCCCAGCCACCAGTACAGTGGAGAGAGACAATTTGCTTCATATAGAGTCTTTGGGGAGCCTCTGCTAATTGCATTAAGTATTCTCTCTGATTAACAATGCCAGTAAGCAAGGATTTCTCTCCACTGCTTTGGTTTTGACCCTTCTCCCTCCAAGACATTTCTGTCTCTCCATCATCTCACACAAGAGAGGCAGGGAGCTGATCTGCACCCTCCAGATTTGCTGAACCTCTTCAGATGACATCCTAACAAATCACCCACACAACAGTGGGCAACACCAGCTGCATGATTTCAAGAGACAGCCAAAAGAATCTTTAGCTCTGAGTCTCTGGAGAGGGTACATAGGAGCATGTCAGAATCCTGCAGCTCAGCAGAGGCAGCAAGGACTGTCCTCACTGGTTCCTATTGCAGTCATGCATTGCACTCCTCGTGCCTTACAAACAAGGTTTCCAGAAGGCTGGAAACAAAAAAATCTCACCAAACAAGACAAGCAGATCCATCAGCACTGGTCCTTGGCTATGCTTCTGGCCATAAGCAGACACTCATGTGCCAACTGCTCATTTAACAAGAAAAATGTAAAATTTACATGAATGTTTCCATCCCCACCTCAGTCTCCCTGGTCTCTTACCTTTCTCATCACTGTTTAAAGCACTTCATTAACTTCCTTGCAGTATCATCTTTCCCACACACCCTTTGATCTGGCTGAGATTCCTTCCTCACAGCTCTTACACCTTCCCAAGACCATTTCCTAGAAATTCACACTTCCTCTCTCTCCCCTCACCCATCCCTTGTCATTAATTTCTTTCCCTTTTCAGCATGGTCTTCTTGACCCTGCTCTCATTCCCAGGAGACTGACTGGGGACTACTTGTCAATGCAGAAAAAAAAGTGCAAAGTGGGGAAAAAGGTTGCAAAAATACTGTCCTGTATTGTACAGCTCACTGATGTGAGTTGTACAGCAGTGTCTCCCAGATCTCCTGCAAATAGAGAGCAGAGACTGAGACTCTGGCCAGGTTGCCTGCAACTAAACCTTTGCTAATGGCCAGCTTGTAATCCTCTGGGGTCCATTATTCTATAGAGACAACAGAAAATTGGTAAGACGACCTAGCCTCAGCCCATCTCTACTGTTTCTTGAGAAAACACATATGTATGCAGAGGGGACATAGGGGGTAGGGCTCTTCTCTGCAGACACTTTTCCAGATATCCCTTTCCTAATGACATCAAGGCTGATCCCTTCTGGTTCTGTGCACACAGATATAGCTTGCTGCCTTCTGCAGTCCCTCCTAAAATAAATACTACTGTTTTTATTTTATCATGAAGCTGCATTTGGATTGCACTGAAATGTTTTATTACCAGGGGAAGTTACAGCAGTGGGGAACTCCTTGTAAACTAAAACTGCAAAACCTCAAATGTTAAATATCTCACATACAGGGAAGTACCTACATTGGTATCAGCCCAATCTACTGGTATTTCTCCTCCCATATCCTACCCAGTGGCTATTCCCACTTGATATCTCTATATGGAAAGGACCTCCCAGCTTCTCCTTCAAAAGCGCAGCTCATTTCCTCACAGAATTGTTTTAGCTCTGGTGGGAGCTGGATCATACACCAGGAAGTCCAAAGACACACCAGTGTGAAATTTTACTTTCTGAGCACTGCTAAAACCTTAATTTGCTCCATCTGGGGCATCTGAACAAAAGTAAGAGGACAAAATCCAAAGCCCTAATTTAACTGGGAACAGACTTCTGATAGGGCCTGTAGCGATATGACAAGGGATAATGGTTTTAAACTAAACCAGGGGTGATTCAGACTAGATCTAAGGAAGACGTCTTCTGTGATGAAGGTTGTAAAACATTAGCACAGGTTGCCCAGAGAAGTGGTAGATGGCCCACTCCTGGAAACATTCAAGTCCAGGATGGATGGGGCCCTGAGCAATCTGGACCAGTTGAAGATGTTCCTGATTATTGCAGGGACTTGGACTGGGTGGCCTTTAAAGGGTCTATTCCAACCCAAGCTATTCTATGATTCTGTGAATTGAGAGAAGATTGAAAAACTGTGCTGGGCTTTGATATGCAGCTGCTCAAACCCTTTTGACATGGGAATTCCCCTTCTGATCAGCCTCAAAAATGATTGCCAGAAGTGGGCAGATACAGTGACTCTCACTGCAACATCCATCACTTCAGCCAGCAGTAAAGACAAAACATTACACAGCTGAAATGCAGTACACAAAGCTCAGCTGAAGTATTTGCACAGCATCTATTGCCTCTTCCCTCCTCACAGCACTGCCACAGATTCTCCCTTACTGGCTCTGCAATTGCTTTGCAGATGGGCTATAATCCATTAGTACCAGTCAGAAACTCCCTTATGGAGCAGCATGGAGCATCATAAGCTAACATGCCACTTGGTTAATAGCTCTGATAAAAGATAGGAGAAATAAAGTTACTGGTCATCTTCCAGTCCAAGAAAGAAACTCCTGCATTGCCAGATAATTGGCAAAGAGCTTAGTCAGGTACAGGCATGTTTTATCATTGTGTGGAACAATTAATAGCTCTCTTTGAAATGGGGAAAGAAACACACTGCAGGCATTTACAGTCCTGTGTACAGTGTGTATTGGAAACTGCACCAAAATGCCTTTGGATTGCTGCCCACCAGCTGCTTTGTTGATAGAGGCAGAAAGCCAAGGTATCCCCTTGTAAAAGGAAGAGGAGTTATCCTCTTGCAGCACTGAGGAGTTTCACCTAGGGAAACACCATGAACAAGAAACTACCAGCACCATCACCTAAGATAGTGAGGGGAAAGCCACTGGGAGAATGCAGCCCACCCTGGGGCTGGTTTAGCCATGTCCTCTTCATTTGAGCTATTGGGCTATTGAGGTATGGAGAGATCCCAGTGATAAGTTTTGGCCATCTGGCAGCTCTAGGGGTCTTTTTAAACCCACCGATTGCAATAGGAGCTGCTGGGGGTGCAACATCTCCCCCCATGTTTCGGGTGCCTGCAGTGACTGCAGGGCTCTGGTCTTGATATCTTGCTCATCCTTTCTGCAGGACAAACCTAAGGAGAGCCTGTGGTGGTAAATGGAGCCAGTGTCAGACCAAGCTCCTACAGGATACCAGATCTCCTCTGATCCCACATCTCTCCTTTAGCCTGCAGTTGCCCTTATGCCTTCTCCCCACCATGCTCATCCTTTGAAATGCTGTGTGGCAGGACTCACACAGAAAACTCACACTGAGATTTCCCAGCCAAACATTAAAAGCAGAGTGCAGAGGAATGGCAGGCCTCAGATGATGGTCAAGGAGTGAGGTGGGAGAGAGGAAAGCTTTGTTATAGTGCTGTTGCAAATTCATGCTTCTCACTGCACTTGATTTCTTCTCCTCTCCCTTAAAGACTTTTCTCATTAGGGAGATCAGCTGACACATCCCTCCCTGGATGAAAGCCCATTGCCTGGTCCCCCTGGGAATGGAGATATTAAGAGGATGCTACCTAGGCTACCTCCAGTTGCCCTGGCAACCACCAAGCTGGAATTCCCCATGGCAAAAAAATCAATTACTAATTAAAGGACTAATACAAGGGGAGGTGTTTTAAAGTTTGCTGTTTGATGGAGTCAGGAAACAGCTGCCCCATTCTTCATTCCCTCAGCCTCCTTCAACACAAACAAAGTACTGTCTGAAATGCAGCTGGGGTTGGGGCTAAAGGCCCAAATTCACCCAATGAAGCTTGAGGTACATGGGTAAGAAGTGTGAAGAAAAACCCAAAACACCAGGTTGTCTCTACAGTGGGATGAAGAGAAAGAAATTGCTCCAGAAGGGGATGAAACCAATCTAAGGCCATGCACATCCCTGGAGATATCCCTCTCTCCCTTGTCCACGACAGAGTAGGATGCCCAGTCTCCCTGGTTACTGCTTCCCACCCCACTCTTGGCTGCATCTTCCAAACCCTAGTCTCTCCCAATAACCAGGTGCACTTGGATAAACCAGTTTGGCTCACTGATCCAACAAAAACCCCTCTGATCTTCCTCTTTCCCCTTTCCTGGGTCAGTATTCCGACAAATTCAGGTGACCATCCACAGGGTTACCACCTCCCACACAGGAGTGGGGAAAAGAGAATCTGTCTTTTCCACAGTAGCCCACAGTTAGACCAGATCAGATATGACATGAATCTTTACGGCAGTGTGGACAGATCCTGGTATTTTCCATGTTTCTTGTCAATATTAATTCTGGATCAGCAGCAAGTAGGGAAA